AGTAAATCATGGGAAAAGTAGGCTGAAGATGAAAACATGCAACAGTGAAAAGAGGGCGGAGAAGACAAGGAAAGAGATAAGAATGAGTATTTATTATAAATTGATACAAAATATTTACGTAAATGTGGTTGACTTTGGAGTGTAAAGAACTGTAAATATGTATGATATGAAAATGTGCTTTAGAAATAAAACGGCCTTTGAGATCAAAGAGAGATGATAGATGAAAAATGCTTTGGAAATGGAAGGCATTGAACAAAAGGAATTGGGTATGAAAAACCTGAACTTGTAAAGTGTCTAAGTTATGGGGAGAATATGCACATTAAAACATGAGGCTCCAGCAGATAAAAAAAGAAACCCCAAACCTAAGCGCTTCTTTTCTGATTGTAGGAGCGGGGGGAAGAGTGTGGTAGTTGCAGTCCAGTTCCATGTCCTACCCTGCCACTTTCTAGCGGCATCCCATTAGCCTCGCCGAGCCTCAGTTTCCTCTGAGAAAGTGGAGATAATAATATACAGACCTCAGGGGGTTGCTGTGCGGATTAATTAAGACGGGGCACATAAAGCTCTTGGCGCCCAGCCTAGCACGCTGCAAACGCTCCATAAACGCTGGCTGTTATTATAAACTACTTGACAGGAAAGTCAGGGAGCAGAGAAACTTAAAGCATCTCTATAATTACATGAATTGTGATGAAACAAGTTAAACTCTTGCTTGATTTTCTTCTAAATTGGATTTTGTAAGCTAAACATGATTCTCTGTCTCTGAGAGCAGTTGCTAGGAGAAACTGGCAAAAGGCAATAAAGTGGTGAACTCAGCCATTGTTCCTAAAATAAGTCTGAAACGAGAGGGGAGGTTTTGGAACGACTTCTTTTCAGAGAGAAAAAACAACCTTCCAAGTGAGAAGTCAGGCTAGGACGCCGACAGGATGGTGGTGGGAGATAGGCCGGATGCAAGGCACGCAGAAACTGAGCTCTGGCAAAGCAGGTGCCGAGCCCATGGGGGCCTCCTCGGTGTGAAAATGCGTAGCTAGGAATCACATACCATTATTTATGGAGCTATATATTTATGCTCCTTAGAGAATTTAAGCCGAATGTTTAGTGAAAAGATAGAAGAACCTAAAGACATGTACCCCTTTTACTGGAGGAAAAATACACAGTCAGAGGAGACAGTTTGCACGCTGGTCAGGCGCATGGGGGTGATGTCCATAGAGCTGGACTGGAACGTTTGACTGTGTTATCATCAGCTGCAGAATCCAACATGTTCATCTCCCTAAGACTTGGTTTCCTCATCTGTAAGATGATACAAACACTCTCTGGTTCAACGGGTTAGTTATCACGAGGCTGCAATGAGATGGAGCCTGCAATGGGCTTCGGCTCCCACTGGTGGTTCTCTCTTCACTACTCACAGAAGTACAAGCGTTCTGTCTCTCCAGCATTTGTGAGATGTTCGCATGTGTTGAATCCATAGAAACAAAATTTTACTTAACTCATTTCTATTCAAGTGTATTATTTAGGTTTGGCGCCTATAAGAAAGTTTTAATAAGAGAAATGCATAGGTTTTTATTCATGAAGAATCTGTAGTTATTGTTACTTTGACCAGTTTAAAAGGGTGACTCTTGACTCAGACTGGGGCATTCGTTTTGCAGGGTTGGTGACTCTAGAAAGTAAAAGAAATTTCTGAAACCTCTGGCCTGGGGTGATGGATTTGCAACTAAATCAATGAAGAGGTGGATTCAGGTTGTAGAAATACGATTTATAAGCCTCCTTTTGCATAAAGTACCTACATCCCCTCGTGTCTATTTTAGTGTCTGCTTTTGCACACATGGCGGTGGTAAGGGGAAGGCAAGACTTGGTGTCTGGCAAATACTTTCTAGAGCATTTCCCCAACAAAATCACTACTCATGTGAAGCTCTCAAGAATGAAGACAGCTCTGTGCAGAGTTTCAGCCGTGAGCAAGTTGCTATTATCTGCCAAGTAGCCACTTGGATTCTCCAACTACTTACCTTTTGGTATATGTTGTTCTTCTAGATGCTGTTTGTAACATAAGCAGCCTCTCTAAGTGGCTATTCATTATATGGTGAGAAATATAGAACAAATATAACTCTGCCAGATGCTAATCTAAGTTTCTCCCAAGAAAACTACAAAATGCCTTTTATGGGGTCATTTAAATGAGTTACACTGATAATAAGCAGTGAGATTTACAAATGTATATGTATCAACTCCCTGTATTCATCCGAAATATGGCAATTGGATTATTCTAGAGGTTGCTAAGTCTAATGATAAGTGCTTCGGCTGTTTAAATTCACCAAGTTTCTTTCTTAATGAAAAGCAGACAATGGTGGCTGACAAGAATGCTGGCCAAACGGTCCCTTCCAGCCTGCCTAGGACAGAGGGGAGAATATAAAGCAGAGAGAAGATTCTGAACACATTGTACTTTACAGCAAAAGCCTATGCAGTGCCCCCGTTCCAAAGCACACATCACCCTCTTCTCTCAGCACACGTTTGGAATTAAATTCAAACCCGACTGTACCGCTTTAGCGAGCTTCACACCGTGCTCGTAGGTGAGAGGTTTCTCTTTCATGTACAGCAAACGGGCCAAGGTTTTGGGGTCATCGCGGAGATCAATCTGGCAAAAAACACACGTGTGACAAACTCATTTATTTTTTCAGGCCTTACCAGATATTTTAAACTGTAACATTATAGAGATATTCCCCCCCGTGAAATTAACATCTACGAAGTTGCTGAATTTTCTTTAAGGAAGCACGTACGGTGACCATATTATATCTAAAAAAGTGCAAACATCAGGCTTTCCCTGCACTTTCTCCTTCAAAGAAACTACCCTGGGAGCTGAGGACTTACTCCAGGGATGCTGTGGCTGTCTCAGATGTTTGTGAAATTTCCTATTTATTTCCAGACCCTACTTATAGAAGACATACAAGATAATCAATCTTGTTACCTTACTGCCAGGACTCATTTGATCCTGAATTATATCACTCATTATTTAATAGTTCATTTCCTGGCTCTAAATGCATCTTTTTTGGGGAGGGTTGTGGGGGAGATACTTTTCCAAAGCAAATCTTCACCCTTGAAAGGATGAAGACTTGCCACCTGCTAGGACGTCTAACGACTGTGCTGCAGGCTCTGAAGGGAAATCCTAAAGAGGAATTTCCAAGGTAAAAATGTTCTTTTCAAAGGTAGAACTACTACGGAAATGGTATACACGTTTGGATTAGGTTTGATAATTAAATATTTTAGTTGCTTTAAAAATCTCACTGTGTATGTGAACCCGTGAATGGGTGTGAATGTGGGCACATAAAGGCTTGTGTTTTAAAGAAAAGCCAATATATTCATCTATTAGGGTCCCATTTATAAGCACACTGCTCAAGTTTACTAACTGGTGTGTTGTTTTATTTTTAGGCTGCATTGTTCAACCTAGTGCCCCTCTGTTATAAAACAGGCTCAGATCACACAAAGATGTTTGCACGTCCTTTCACATATTTTGGCAGCAGAGATCTGGACCCCATCAATATGGTGAAACGTTATCATCTGGAATTAAGGCAAAAGACTTCATTGAAACAAACAAATACTTATCTTTCACAGAAGAAGCATTAACTGTACTCTGATTTATGGATGTGTTAATTATCTGTCCATATCTTCTCTAGGCAATATTTTTTTTCTTTTATGTTTTTAAAAAAATTTCTCCTTGGGGGCTGGTCCCGTGGCCAAGTGGTTAAGTTCGCGCGCTCTGCTGCAGGCGGCCCAGTGTTTCATTGGTTCGAATCCTGGGCGTGGACATGGCACTGCTCATCAAACCACGCTGAGGCAGCATCCCACATGCCACAACTAGAAGGACCCACAACAAAGAATATACAACTATGTACTGGGGGCGGGGGGGTTGGAGAGAAAGGAAAAAAAAAGAAATCTTAAAAAAAAAAAATTTCTCCTTGTCAAGTGAAATGTAAAATGAGAAACAGCAGCGTGTGAAATAGATAACAATAAGGCCCTTCAGTATTATTGCATTTCTACGTCTTTGGGATAGTAATTTGGGTTTCAACATAGTAAAGAACAAAATCTATTTAAGACCATACAAAGTTGCAACAATCTTTAATGTAATTTAATACATTTCTACAATTGCTTGCTGTTGGAAATTCAAACTATGGAACTTTATGAGCTTTCAAAACACTTGAAAAGCTTTTACAATCTCAGGTTCTTTTATCTGGTAGATCTGTTTTAACTTCTTTTCTAAGATCTAAAAGACCCAGAGGCTTAAAGGGAACAGGGAGCAGTGGATTTCTGTCTTCTTTCTCCAGGAGTGTGACTAAGGACTTCTTGTCATAGTACGCCCATTCTGATTACTGGGGTCATTTTGACATTCACACCTATTTTGTGACTTTCAAACAATTGTAGATTTTAGATATAAAAAATATTAGGTGATAAGTGTAATTGACTTCCTCACCTCATTCCTCTGCCTCAGCGCTGGAGGAGGGTGTATATTTCAAAACTTACTTTGTTATTTAAAAATAAAAAGCTGAGAAAGTAATTTTTTTTTTGTTTTCTTGTTATTTATATGAGAAAGTAATTTTTAAAGGTCACATCAAAACTTCCCGCTTCATGTTAAATAGCTCTATTATCTTTTCAACTATGGGCTAAATAATCATGCAGGTCTTAAGAACGGCTGTTCATAGGATTGATATATCTGAGACACTCTTCTAAAGTGTTTGGTAGAACCGGACGTTTCTGAGAAACCTAAAGGGTCTTTCCTTTTCGCCGCCCCACCCACCCCACCCTTGCCACCCTTGCCACCCTTGCCACCCTTGCCACCGTCCGCCTTTAACCTGGGTCCCTATGAGGACGTAAGGCACGTGAGGCATGCAGTCCTTCAGCTCCGGAACCCACTCCTCCTGGACGTTGTGGTAAGAGGCAGGATTTACAACAGAGAAGCAGATCAAAAACACGTCGGTGTTGGGGTAGGAGAGCGGTCTTAGCTGGTTGTAGTCCTCCTGTGGAAAGAGCAGTTGGTTCAGCCTGCGGCAGGTGGGTCCAGGGTGTTTCTAGGGAGCGACACAGACAAGAATCCGCCGCAGCGCTCTGTGACCTCGTTCCTCCCCCCTCCCTGGAATCTGGTGGTTCCCTATGTTACTAGAAATAAAGGAGCCATCCGTCAGGAAAACACTTTTTTTTTTTTGTATAGAGATTATAAATTACTCCCTTTTAAAATAAACTTAAAAATTTTTTTAACAGCTTTAGTGAGAGAATTTACATACATAAAGGTCACCCATTTAATGTATGTAATTGAAGAAGGATTATTACACATTGGAATCATGTAATACAGAATATGGATCTAAACTAGTGGGCCATTGGCTGAGGCACCGAGATTCTCTCCCTATACAATTTTAAAAATTGCATTCAAATTTAATTTAGAATAAGTTAACCAAAATGCAAAGCTAAGAGTTGTTGCCAAGTCAGTCAGTACAATATTTGACGAAATGTACTGTGTGAGGGTTTAGAGCTAAGAATTTGGGATTTGTTTCTAAGTCAACCTAAAGGCCACAGTGTAGCTTAATAAATAAAATGCCAGATTAATTATTTTCTCCCCAAAGCCTTTTTAGACTGGAAATGCTCTGGTTGAAGAGTTCCTGGTTACATAAGATGTTTATGAAGATGCTGTTTTAATGGGAGGTGACAAAAACAAAGTAAGACATTGGATCTACTTTGGAAAAAATGTAAGCAAGTACCTTTTATTGTGTGTAAAATGTTTTAAGAGGTTCCCAGATAAAATCTGCTGTTTCATGAGAAGATGATACATATTTTCGTAGAATTTAGTAATGCATAAGCCAAAAGTAATTTTATGTGTATGTGTGTATACTTATTCTATATATGTATGTACTATGTGGACATACATGTCCTCATACACTACAATATGGCATACATGTTCATACACACCACACATAGTTCATATATGTATACACACTACACACGTATCATACATGCATAGGTGCGACCAAACCTCTATGTTCACACTTATCACATATATGTGTACATAGACATGGGCAACGTATCAATTCATTTGTTAGGATCTCGACTACTCTTTCCAACAGTTAAAACAGTCATAAAACTCACATAAGCTCATTGCAAAAGTTCAAACATTACAGAAGTACGTAGAGTAGATGTGAGATTTTGTTTTCATCCCCCACATGATCTCTAATAGTTTCTCCTCTCTTCCCAGAGGGAGCCACTCTTTAACAGTACCCTTCCAAATATTTTATATTTATTTACATATATAATAGACATTCATTTAGTTTAAAAAAGATAAGTTGATTATATAGTTCATACTGTTGTGCCACTTGTTTTTTAAATGTAATATGTCATGGATATTTTAAAATTATCAACTTCACTATATTTCTGTTGTCTCTGTTAATGTCTTTTGAAGAAGGGGGTGCCCACATACAAGTACACATGTGACCGGGAGGAAGGCCCTCAGAATGTCGAGTGCGGTCATCTCTGTCTGCGCTGACCCATCCTCAGCTCCCCCAGGAGCCCGGCGCTCAGGGGCTCAGCACACACGGCTGCTGCTCCTGCTGCTGCTAATGCCTTTAAAACCCTAGCAAAAGTTGTTAGCTACTTAAACAAAATGCAATGCAAGATGGCAAGGATGCTGAAAAATCTGAAAATTCTAAAAAATAAACAAAAAGAATAAAAAAAAAATCAGTTATTGTGGTTCATTGACCACATTTCTATTAAAGCAAATAATTGGGAGTTGGGTGCATTGCTGAATAAACACTGGTCATACTGGGCAATTGGGCCAGGCCTACTGGTTGGATCTCAGCTGAGTTGTGCCCATGTCTGTGTGTGTGTGTCAGTGGCAGGGGTGGGGGCAGGCGGTGGGGAAGGGGACAGCTCATCTCTTGTCACTACCTCTCCTCCTCTTTACACAACTAGCCCTGAACACCAAACCTTCTCTCGCATGGTCTCTCTGCCTCCTTCCTTTCTCTCTGAGAGTAGCTGTGAGGCCCACGATCTAAGAACACTCCTTCCCAGGCCACAGTCTGCAACTGTTCATGACATCACCTGCCCTCTGCCACTTCATCCTCCCATCTGGATTGTCGTAAATGGAGCAGGGACCATGTTGTTTTTTTCATGCCCCATTTATACTCTGTCCACAGCAAATATTCCATAAATGCCGTTGACTGATTGAATCACACCGGGTCTGCAGTGACCTGCAGATGAACAAATGGCTTTCCTGTGGGTCGTTGACTGCAGCAGTTTTCATTAGAATCACCTGGGGGAGCTCTAAGACCATCCTGATGCCCTGCTAGCCAACTACCTGCCTCTACTACCCTCTTCTACTCTGGACCAACGAAATCAGAATCTCTGGGGAGTGGGCCTGGGCGTCTGGGCATTCTGATTTCATTGGTCTGGGGTTGGCATGGAGTTGAGAACAACTGATTTGCATCATCATTTTCTTCACCATCAACTGAGGATGTATTAAGGGCTTGTCACCGCCCCCAGGCATTGTTGCAGGCACTCACATGCATTATCTAGCTGAATCCTCATAATAGCACTGCAAAGGTGTACCATCGACATCCGCATTTCACAGAGGAGGAAGTTAAGGTTTAGAGAAGTTTAGTCATGGACCAATGTTGCAGAGCTATTAAATACCAGGATGGGGTACTTAGTTTGATCCAGCTCTAGCAATTAAGTGTAACCACGCTATTTGCTTCAGCTCAGAACTTTAAGTGACAGATTAAGCATTTTCTTGAAAACTCAGTTATCCAGGAATCTTAATACAGACTCATACTCTACCACAGGGATCTAAGAAAGGAAAAGTTAGACCTTGGGATATAGTGTCTATTTCATGGCTTGCAGCTGCTAGAAATTACCACCAGATGGCAGCAGACACTGTATATTTAAAACCTCAAAGCCAAAACCCAAAACACAACATGTCACAATTAGATGAGGTGGGAGCAGATAACCAGAAGTCTGAAAGGATCATGTTTATGTGATTCTTTGCCCAGAAGCTATCAAAAGAATTCTGCTTACATTAGGGGAAGGTTCGGAAGACCATTGGTGGCTGGATTGACTATAGGTAAGAGGTGAGAGGTTGGGTTTTGATCATTTATCCTTCTGGCAGGTAGCCAAGGCCCTCCTCTCGGTGGCTTCTGCTGGAGTCCTTCACTGGGTTTTATCCTGCCCTTTATTCTGGATCCCTCTTCTGTGGAAACCTTAGAACTACTGTGTAATTCCGTTCAAAAAGGTTTATTAATTGCCTACTGACTGTCTAGCACTGTTAAACGTGCTACATGAACGACACAGGGTGAATAAGAATTGGCAATCCAGCTGAGGGAAAGAAAATGAAGACGTGGGAAACAATTTGATTTATGTGGAAGTGAGACAGGTGAAGTTTCTCTTGTTCTTTGTGATCTCTGAAGATAGAATAATCTAGAATAGGTACTTGACTGAATTGGAAAAATACAATTTCAAGGCTGGATGAGGTCTTAGTGATCAGTTAGTGCAGTGGCTCCCAGAGTGCAGTCCGAGACCAGCAGCACTGGCATCCCTGGGCGTTTTTTAGGAAGGTACAATCTCGGCCTGCCCAGCCCTCCCGGAGCTGAGGCTCTGGGGGAGGGGCTGCACCATCTGGGGCTTAACAAGCCCTCCAGGTGACTCTGTTGCAGCTCAAGTCTCAGGACCACGGGTTACGGTGCTTCCCTTTCCCCTCAGCCAGTTTTATAGTTTAAGAAACCGAAGTCTAGACAGATTGATTTAATCCAGATTACAGAGCAAACATACCTTTAAAGAAGGCTCACACCTGGGCTGGCCCGGTTCCTTCAGCCCCTGTTTGCCAGTGGCTGCAGTTATGAAACACGGCAGTGGGTCCAGGGTTGGTAAAAGGCGGTGTCCTCTCGGGACTGAGGGCTGGGCAGCGGGATGTTGGGGAGTTGAATTGGTCCCAGCTGATAACTTAAGTGACTTTTTGCAGGGGAACATGTTCTGAGCCCAGGTTGGATGATCACACGCTGCGATGATGTAAAGGGGCCTTGAGGAGTGGATGGTGGTCTGGCTGCTGTTGGAGGCCCCTTCCGGTGTGGAAATTGAGAACGGAAGAGAGGTGCTCATGTGTCTCTTGAAGAGACAATGTTTTAATCTAAAAGAGCTACTGGAATGGGGCTTTGGAGGGCTAAAGTGGGCGAAGAGGCTGGGGTGGGGGTCGGGGTGGGAGTAAAAGGGAGGGTGAGGTTTGGGCCAGGTAGACTTTTGAGTGCCTTCCACCCAACTTCACTCCGAAGGCAGGAGGTCATTTGGTGTGAAGGGAAATCTGGTATTCTGGGATGACTATGGGTGACTATTAAAAAAAGAAAAGTTCGGGGACAGCCTTAGCATCAGATGGGCCAAACACCTGGGTTCTAAATGTGTCCGGAGCTGCCGCACCCTGATGGCAGGTGGTGAGTCAGTGAGACCATTAGCCCAGCCCTCCTCAGGCTTTACGTACGTTTGAATCACCTGCAGATCTTGTTAAGGTGGAGATTCTCGTTCAGCACAGGTGTGGGATGAAGTGCGAGAATTTGCATTTCTAACAAGTTTCCAAGTGATGCTGATGCGCTGGTCCAGGGACCACACTTTGAGTGGCAAGGAGAGTTGCATTAAGCTCCCCCTCCACCCCACCCCACCCCACCCCATACCCACATTAAGTTGGAAATAGAATTCTGCTTCCAAGTCCTCTTAGGAGTGATACTTCTCCCAGATTTTCCGCACAAGTCTCATTTTCATATTTTCCCATAAATACATTCATATCTGGCAGGCTTGGTTTGGAAAAGGTGGGCAACACACATAGGGCGGGAGCGCAGCATAGTGTTTAAGAGCTTGGGCTGGGGAGACCATCCTCCTGGTTCAACTCCCTGCCCTGCCTGGGACTACCGTGTGACCTGGGGTAAGTTCTCTTTGCCTCAGTTTCCTTATCTGTAAAATGAAGTTGATAATAGTGCCGCCTTCATAGGGTTGCTATGAGAATAAAATGTGTTAATGTTTGTAACCCACTTAGGACAGTGTCTTTAGTGGTTAAGGGTCTGTCCTCCATCCCACGTCAACAGCAGCTGCAGGTCCTGCTGCACTGAGTCGACCATATTGGATCCCGGGGCTGAATCTGAAATGAACGTTTTCTAAACTGAGTAGCAATGAGAGCCTGAGGATTTGCATACTCGGATGGCACCTCTGAATCCATTTTTTGTAATTTGGGGAGAAGTGAGATCGTGTCCTAAACTTATAATAACTTGTCATGTGGGAAGACCTCTTCCTAACCCCCCAATTTGCACACTTCTAAAACCATATTAAGATACATGTGAGCAAGAAAGCTTGAGTTGTTCATTGAGGAAAAACATTTGTTCTGAGGTTTTAGGCTAACTTTCCATAGAGGGCTGATGTCAGAATCTGTGCTCCAGAGGGCCCCACTGGGTCAGCCAATGGCAAAGGGAAGGCTGGCGTCCTTCCGTGTGGACCCTGGGTTGCCATTAGCAAACCCCAGCTGTCCTTGCCTTCCTGCCTGGTTGCATGACTCTTCAGCCCTTGCCATAAGAGGGTCTTCAGAAATCAGGGCTGGGTAAGGATGTGTAGCATGCAGCTCTGGCTGAGGAAGGGGTGTTTCTGATGGGTTTCCTGCTCCCCACTCCCACGGTCACTGGTGACAGCTGAGCTGCTGTGGGCTGTGGTTTCTCGGTGACAGACACTATTCTGTGCTTTCCCACATGCAGACAGCCCCATAGAGTGTGTGTGTAGAGAACTTGGGGGTTGACCTGGCTGAGAAACCAGGCTCCTGACCCAGGAGATTCTCTTTCTTCCCTGGCAGTGCCGCTAACTGCCACTTTTGCAAATGTTGCCTTTGAGATATGTTCATCTTGGAGTTCTGCCTGAGAGGCCACGATCTGAGCGGGGCTTTGCCCACATTGTTCGTATAAGTGACAGTCCACTGAGAGAAGGAGGCAAGACGTCTTAGTGCCGTGGCTGGCCCCACTCTAGGTGGCCAGTGGCAGGACGGTGGGACGCCTGGCTCTGAGCCATGACCTGGGAGAGACCCCTCTCACAGTTTGGCGTTCCTCAGCCAGCGAACGCCCAGGCTTTGCTGCAGCAGCCCCGCCCCAGCATGCTGCTCTCGCCTGGTCTCTCATGACGCGCTCTAAACAAACTGGCCTGCATGTACGTCATGGAAAAGTCAGCTCTGGGACTCTGTGTAGCGGAGCCAAGGATCTGAGCTCTAGAAATCCCTTTCCGAGAGACTTTCAGTAAAGCACTACGAGGGGCGTGTGCCGTGCAGCATGAGTTGGCACGAGCTAAATAGATTTGGCTTCCAGGCCTGGCCTTATTGCCTCCCCAGTGTGAGCTGAGGGGTGACATGCGGAGATACCCTGCGAAAAACTCCTCACTTCATTGCCTAAACTGATGTTTGGAATTCTACCTAACCGATGAACCAGAGTTCTGAAGACTCTTTGTCTTCAAAGGCCCCCACTTGAGGTCCAAATATTAATTTGTTTCAGGGGTTTGGGGAGGGAGCTGATGTTTAATAGCAGCTGCCATGTGCTGGCAGCGTATGCATGTGGCTTCATTACAGACTGTCTTTAGCAAATGCTTGGCTGGCTTGTGAAAAGCCGGGAGTGGGTCTCAGGCGGGGCTGGTGGGGCTGCCTCGGTGCTAGAGGCCACTGAGTGTGGCAAAGTGGAGGGAACAAGGTCAAGTGATTTTGTCCGGGGCTGACTTTGAGGGTAGAAATAATGAGTTTCTATCCCCTGAACTTTCAGAACACATGTGCTTCTTGAGGTTGTTTTCATTGACTCTGACCCACAGTTAGCTCAAGATAAAGACGAGGGGCACTGCTCGTTGGTTTATTCGTGTGAGAAAATCTAATTCTTCACAGCAAAATGGAACTCTATATCCGGGTTCAGAGACTTATTTCCCTTTTGTGGTTCAGGGATTAATCAGTTGGTTTTGAGATCACCTCTCTTTCTTGTTAATAACTCTGGCCAAATGAGCATTTTTGAATTAGTTATAGATGTTCCTTAGCCATGTGACCTCAGCAACGTTTGCTAGAATAGAACTGAAGAGGCTGGATTGTCCTACCTGCGGCTGAGAATGGAATTTTGGGACAATGCTTCTAAATTAAATTTTTACAAAGCCTGGTTGGCAGCATTGTAGAACCATGGGAATCACCTCGGACAATGGCTATTCTCCACTGAATCCTCCTGCACTAGGGACAATGCTTCAGTCCCCAAGGACTTTTAGAGTAGTGATTCTCACATTTTAACATGCATACGAATCATCTGGAGGTCTTAAAATGAATTTTCAGATTCAGTAGGCTGGGGATGGGGCCTGAGATTCTGCATTTCCAACAAGGTCCTTGGGGATGCCAATGCTGCTGGTCAGTGGACCGAACTTTGAGTGGCAAGGTTCTAGATGAGTGGTTCTCAAAGTACGGCATACAGACCAGCAGCAGCATTACCAGGAAACCTGTTAGAAATGCAGATTCTTGGGTGCTGTCCCAGGCATGTAGAATCAGAAACTTCAGAGGCGGTGGGGCCCAGTGGCTGAGTTTTAACAAGCCCTAGAGGTGATTCTGACACCTGCTCAAGTTTGAGAATGACTGTTCTACAAAACGAGTTACATGTCATCCTTTAGTGTAACTTATTTCAATATTTAACAATACTTTACTGCTGAAAGTTCTCCCTTGGTCTACCCTCATATAGTTTTGCTTAATTACTCCAGTTCTTGTAGGCATTCTTGAAGTCATCTCTTTAAGGTCCTAATTATAGAATTTTAGTCCTAGAAGGAAGCTTAAGATGTGTTCTGATTTCGTTTCCCCATGCTTTATGCTCCCTTATGAACCTTGTCCACCTCGGAGCTTTCAAAGCAGTTGGTGGAAATTACTAAAGTGAAAGGCTGAAGGAATATCAATAACCCATTTGTTGTTATACTTTCTTAGTGCACATCACCTTCTTCCATGTCGGAGGTTTGGGTCATTCTGCTTTCTTCAATTTAGAGTTTAAAGGTAGTTTTACATTGTCTTAGAACTTCAACTCCTATACTAGTATAATTTAGAATTTTTTCTGAAAAGGACAGAGCAGTGGGAAAGAATAATTAAGCTCTACAGGAGCTTTTAAGCAGTTTTATTGGATTTGAAATTAAATAGAGGCCTGAAGAGGTTGTTCTGGGGGCAATTAAGGCACAGAAGCACAATTGTCGTGGATTGCCGTAGAAGAGGGGAAGCCTGGATGGGCATGAGGGGCACAGAGGGCTTCTAGAGAAGGCAAGGGAAACAGAGAGAGGTTTCAGAGTCAGGCAGTAGTCCTTGCTGTGTTGCACTTTTCAAACTGAATTATATTCATAGACTCTGACTATGGAGGAGAAGGGTGTAAACTCCTCTCTCTTTCAGGCTGTGAGTCCTGATGAGTGGGGGCATCAAATGACCATGTGATGGAATGAGACTAGGCAACTCCAGCCCAAAGAGCAGTGTACCTCTATTGCTGGGATGCTTTCTGGTGGAGGGGAGTGAAGCATGAGCATTAGCTTGGAGGAGCCAATCCGATTTTCCCATTTGGGCATCTAGGGGCATCCTTTCGTAGTCATGTGTCTTGGTATTGATGTCAGAGATTTCCTCTGCTCCCCAGTTCCTGAGAGTAGCTGGCCAAAAGAGCCATCTACCAGTAAGAGGAAACTGAGTGCTCTTAGGAGCCTTGAGTCTGGTGCTAGACTTGCCAAGTTCTCCACTGTTTGGTCTGTCCAATACCAGCCTGCAGATATTTATTCAGTGGTTCTTGCAAATGCACAAAGAAATCCCAAAGGGAATTCCATTTATTGTTGTTATTTTTTCTAGCATAGAGCTTTCAGGTTGAGCAAAAAGACATATCTTCAGATAATAGTGAGAAAAGCCCTAGACAAATGCATAACTACAAATAACAATTACCAGGAAATTCGCAGTGGGACAGAGCATGGTCAAATGTTCAGTCCAAAGGACTTAAGATGTACGAATTTGGACAGACTGAACAACCTGCTGATTTTGACCTAAATAAATGACCCAGGACATATGGTAACAAACGCTCTCTCAAAGAAATTGGGCCACAGCCATCAACTGCTTAACCACTTCCCCGCCAACCCATGAACTTGTAACATTGGAAACTTGTCCTAGTGGAATGTGGTGTACAGAGAAAGAAAGGCAGGGCGGCTTTTCCCCCCAAGTGGAGCGTGTGCCGACTGATGAAACGTTGAGGGTTCTGGTCCATTGCCTCACGTTATTGGTTGGCCAGGTTCTCCAACCTGAAGAAACATTTCTGACAGAGTGAGAATATTTCAAGAATCTTAGAGAATTTCAAGTCAATCTCTAGTTATTAAGGGGTTGACCCTCAATTTTGGAAAACATCCAGGATCCTGGCTTTTCTTCCTTCTAACACTTAATCCATCTTTTTCCTACCCTCTATTCCCTGTCCTCTGTCTCTTTCTGGACGTTTCCACAGCTTGTTAGGCAATTCAAATAAGAGGTGGGCAAAGAATACAGTGTGAAAAAAGCTAATGGGTGAAACTAAAATTTATGAAATTGACTCAGTAATCTAGGATCTGGAATTGGGATGGGTGGGAAGAAATTGAAACTGTTGGCCAAATATGTTATCTTGGTTATTGATAATCATCAACCAGTGAATGAGTCATTATTTGCCTATCAATACCTTGAATCATGTAATGACTTAGTCTTTTGTAATTAGAAATATTTTAAAAATATTAAGAATATTTCGATTGTCATTTAGAAAGACAATAAATTTGCCCTAAATGATTTGAAGAGAGAATGTCTGTACTGTTAGTCCCCATATGCCCAGCCGAATGGATCCTTCTCCTCCCCCCCAAACCCCTAATGAATCAAGATAATAAAAATGTACCTGTCCTGCGGTGTCATACAGTCCGAGCAAGTGTTGCTTGCCTCCCACTGTCACAGTAACTAGGGGAGAAGAGAAGAGGAGAGTCCATAAATGGAAGCTTCAATCAGGAGCCTTTGCATTTCTCCATGCCAACCTCTCCCTGGGCAGCAGGGATAAGCATATGCCTCACCCGGGTATATTCTAAACCAAGTTGACAGTGTGATTTCCAAATGAGAGACAACCTTGGGCTGAGAGCAGATGGGCTGAGTCAAGTCCAAATTTCTCAACTGAGATGGATATTATTGTCACCACTAGGGCCCTCTGTAGGCTGCTCATTGATCCTCATTCTGCCCTATATCAAGCTACTGAAGGAAAAGGATTCTGGACCCTTTCTTGCTTAGGTTATTTTCTTCTTTTCTTTGATTTGAGCCACCTTTCAGGATATAGAATTGTGTATGCAACTTCTCTGTTAGAAATCTCTGCTTTTTTTCTGTCTTCAAAATGTTAATAAAACCCTGAAAACAAAGTATATTAACCCACCTTATATTTTATAGTCTATAAGGCAAAGCTAATAATGAAATAATAA